GTTTTATAGGAATTGTCTAAAATAGTCTTCTATATATCATTTTAATATTGAAATTGTTATCTATAAGTACTAAGACTTAAAACTTTACTTTCTTTTTTATTTTTGCTGTCTGAATTTATTTATTTATTGTGAAAATATAGTACAGAGGGGTTACAATTACATGGGCAAGGTAATGAGTACATTTCTTATCAAGCATTGCTGCCTCCTCCTTTGTTTCCCCTTCCCATTCCTTCCCATCTCCCCCCTGCCCCTAGCCAAAGTTGTAAGTCGTTATGTCGAAAAACGAACTTTACAACTAAAACTTTTCTATCCATTAATTCATTGCATGAGGTTTGAATTACCCTACAGAGAAAATGGAATGATCTGTCGATTTTTCAATGTTAAATTTTACTCCCAACGTCAACATCCATGGCTTGAAGGTCCTGATTTTGAAATCAGCTGGCATTCTGCCCACAGGGCTCAGCACCTGGCTGCACAGGTGGTATGGTGTATGACTCTAGGAGTGTCCACCACATACAGTGTGAGGAGGACTGCACCCCTTAAACTACATGGGGTATCCAGAGTAGAAAGGATGATGGACAGTGGAGAAACAACATCAGCTAACCAAGCACTGGACACAGACCCATCTTTCACGTCTATTCCACCTGGCAGTGTTAGTCTCTTCTGGGGAAGATAAGAAGCCATTGGAAGATACTAAACTGATAACTGATATCATCAGATTGAGATGTTAAAAGAATCATAGTATCTTTCTCTGAAAAAAAAATATTTGGTGGCACTGCGGAATTTAAACCTAGGGCGTTAGACTTCCTACATCCAAGCTTTACCACTAGAATTATACCTCCTGATCTTTTTGCTTTTAGTTATTTTTTTTCCAGACTTTTTTTTTAACCTAGACCAGCCTGGACCGTGATCCTCTTACTAATGTCTCCTGAGAAGCTGAATTACAGGCATGACCTGGGGCCCATGAGTTCACTGGCTGAACTAATTTTCATAGGGTATGTCTAATGTATGTCTACATTTCTAAAACTTGTTTAGAAAATTTCCTCAGAACCCAAATTAGCAATATGATTTAAAAATGGTTTCTTCTATAAAGCTGAATTCAAATGTTTAAACAAACAAACATGAAGCAAAAGTAGTAAATCCTGAAATCCTTCGTCTTAATAAGCACTGGAGTGAATTCATGTAATTCTTTCCAGATGTTTCAATTTGCAAAATAACCCAGATTAATTGCTATCAGTTACAACAAGAAGAATCTGAAAAGGAAAATCTCAAATATCTTAACTGGGTGGAAAATGTTTCATGTTTCATAGAAGTGCCAGAGATGGGGTTCACTTGGTCAAGGCCTTTGGGACAAGGGAGTTGGTTGCTCATGAAACAATTTGCAGATTGTCAAGTTAACCTAACTTGAGGAACACAGTGTTCTGGAATGCAACTTGGCCTTTTGGAAAGTATTTAAGTCATGTCTGTGGCTCACAATCATTCTGCAACTTTCAAAACAAAAGCAGCCTGATCCCAGGTGCTTAGCACAAAGGTAACAGCTGTGACCAATGGACAAATGTCACAGGAAGGACTTGGCTGTGACATTTAAACTATCTTTTACAAAAGACTTGTGTGTGTGTGTGTGTGTGTGTGTGTGTGTGTGTGTGTCTGTCTGTCTGTCTGTCTGTCCTGGCGCTTGAACTTAGGGCCTGGGCACTGTCCTTGAGTTTTTTTGTTTTTTTTTGTTTTGTTTTGTTTTTGTCGGTCGTGGAGCTTGAACTCTGGGCCTGGGCACTGTCCCTGCACTCTTCAGCTCAAGGCGAGCGCTCTACCACTTGAGCCACAGCGCCACTTACGGCTTTTTTTTCTTTTTGCTTATGTGGTGCTGAGGAATCGAACCCAGGGCCTCATGCATGCAAAGCAAGCACTCCACCACTGAGCCACCCTCCCAGCCCTACATGTACTATTTTCTTTCCAAAGATATCAGTAATTTTTTTCACAACCCCCACAAAATTGTTTTCATATATACTTTAGTCACATATACAAATAACTTAAAACAAGACAAAAAGGCCCACAATTGAATGCCAGGCAAACTAAATCCTTCTTACCGTTATAAATCCCTACAATGGGTTGGCAGCTCAGTAGTAGAGTGCTTGCCTAACATATGTTGGGACCAGCACTGAAATGCACACCTACATATGTACATACTCCACAGTGTTTCACAATTCAACTTGGAATAAATAACAACAAAAGATGCTGTTTACCTCAAGTCTATTCCTTTCAACGTCATGACTAATTTATAGGGCTGAGCTGTTAGGGACTACCCATAAGTTAGCTATTTTTACTGGTGTAAATCCTCACTTTACTATCATGGGTTCAAAGTTACTTTTTCATGAATACCCCCACTGACGGCCTAGAGGCACATATGAAAAAGTTTGGACTTGGGTCTGACTAAATCAAGGGCCTTTAGACTCTTGTCAAATTCTTTTCAGCTTGACAACTTTAGACATATAAAATATCACATTCAGATCACCTGAAAGTCTGTATCTCTAAAAGTGAACTGATGATGTATTTTTACAACCGTACTTCTACACTTAAAAATGGATGTTAGAAAATGATTTTTTTTGGTTATCAGTACTGGGACTTGAACTCAGGGCCTTGCACTCTTGCTTGGCTCTTGTGCTCACAGCTGGCACTCCACCACTTGGGCCATTCCTCCACTTAGGTATTTTTGCTAGTTAATTGGAGATAAGAATGTCTCAGATTGTCTGCCCAGTCTGGCTCCAAACTTCAATCCTCATATCTCAGACTCCTGAGTAGCTAGGATTATAGGTGTGAGCCACCTTCTCTAAAAAGTGGCTCTAAAGGCCACTTTTTACTTGAATAGTGTTCAACACACTCACGGCTTACTTCATGTCTTATACACTAAAAGATAATATTGTTCATGATCCTTGATCTGATGGACTTGGCAAACAGGTGTAGCCTGGTGAATCCACAGCAATGAATGACAAAGATCAATGCGTTCTCTAGGGATTTGTTCCCCCAGCTGATCTTCAAGAAATAGTTGAATATTTTTCCTCTATGTCTGTAACTAGATGTAAAGTTTGAAGAAACTTACACAAATAGTGATATTTGTAGTCAGTATCCAACCAGAGAGGTCTTAGATTGCTAAAATGAAGGAACTGTGGATGACCTGCAAAATTAACTTCTCATTTCTGACATGTTTCCATATATTCAAGCCCTTCTGGTGAGTTTAAATTTACATGGCTACCATTGGCCACTCTGCTGGGAGCAATACAGTACTTTATCTTTGAAGAATATAAATAAAAATAATAAATCTACATTGCTTTGCATATATATTTCCATTGGTGATAGTCATAAAGGGAAAATTGGACTAGACTTACTTTTTTGAATATAAGGGTAATAAACACATATAAATGTGCCATTATATAATATATTGTAGTTTATAAATTGTGTTTTATTTATTAGGTTTTACTTTAGTCCAATAAACATAAAATGGAGAGAACTCATGGTGTAGATAATACATCTAAATTTGTTAAAGTGTTATCATCCAAAGACTTCTGTTAGGCTATAGATGTATTTTTCTGTTTTTAGTAAACAAATTTACTCTTAAGAGATACATAAATATATAGTTGAAATTTTATGTTACGAATTTTGACATAACATTTTTTTAACAGAAGTAGTATTTACTTCTTAGGAATATAAAGTACAAAAATTACTCTTTTATGGAGAAATTTATGAATTTAATTTATGGAGTAAATTATTCCTTAAAAGAGTAATTTTGACACAAGATGAAATCATTCCAAAGACCACATCCAAGGAATGTATCAAATACCCAAGAATAAGCCAAGGTCACTAGTCTGCAAACTCAGAGCACCAGGATTTCTCAAATAATATAACAAGAATATGATCAAGCGTGTCTTTAACTTCTTGGTAAACTCACTGAGTCTTTAGAGAAATGAGACCATTAAGCTGTTTCTTTTTTTAAAAAAATTAAATGTCTTAACTGTCTCTATTCAGAACATCTTTATCACCTTCATACTGACAAACTGGACCTTAAAACACCATGACTGTAGGTCTGAAAAAAAACCAAAAAATACCTCAAAGCATTCTGGGGCTAACTCATCTCACTTCTTTTCAGTAGTTCATTCACTGGATTCACCCCAATCATTAAGCACAAACTCTCCACCATCAGTCTACAACATAAGTACCCAGGACTCCAAAAAGATGACTTCAGACAGTCAGGTGGAAGCCAGCTCTCCCCTATGGGTTTATACAGATGTGTTTCGCTACCTCTCCTGTAAGGGCTTCTTCATCTCTTTCTTCTTGCTTCATATCAGCTTGCTAATGAGTTCTCCTTTCTGACCAGACATGAGCTCATCAAGGACCTATCTGAATCACAATTCTTTCTCAAATTATGTAACCTACAGATAGTATCTCCCTAAGTAACTCAGTGTGTACTAAATTTCTGTTATACCTCACAACAGTTTTAAAAGAGGATGAAAGCCCTAATAAACTATAATTTAGGAAGACTTTGCTCAAGAGAAAAAGCCCCAAGAATAGCATATTGTTCAAGAAGTTAAGGCCAAGTGACTGCCCTACAAAAGTGACACATTCAATTTCTTCTCTTTTATATAACCTTCTGGAGATCAAACACTGATACAATACTTATATTCACTTGTCACAGCCAGACTTTGATTTAAAACTCTTGAGGACATGACTGTCATGTGAGACCAGAAAGGTACCAGCATGTACTTTTTATTTAAACACAGATATGTTTAGTATATGTATGTGTGTGTATGTGTGTGTATATATATGCACACACACATATTTATATAGTCCCTATGAAGAAATTTGAGTGAAAAATCTCCCAATACTCACCACAAACAAAAAAACAGAATCAGAAAGCAATGGCTAAATTTATAAAGAAGTACAATGAAAAGCACTCCAACTGCAAGTCCAATTTGACACAGAAATGACACACAGAGGCATTTTCTTACCTTTAAGGAATCAAAGCAGGCAATTACTCTCCCGTTTTCGACCTGGCAACTTTTGGGGGGGTGGGCAAATTTGCATTCTTCATCGGAGCGGGAGCACGTTCCCCTCTGAAACTGTCTGCAGACTTCCAATGTCAGCCACTTTGTATCTCTGACTGGAGCAACGTTCAAAGCCATGTTGAAAATGTACTATGGGCTCCGGTATAGTTTCTGGTAAAGGGTGAAATCAATCCAAGTTCTAGTGACTCCAAAACCACTACAGTGAAAGCTCCCACATGTAAGTCCAAAGTTAAGTGGTAAACTGCTTAATCAAGTCCAATGCACAGAACAGAGTTGATGAGGAGAGGATTTATTGGCAGGCAGTCACTCATGGATCAATATATCCCACTTGTAAACGGTGGGCCACAAGACAAGCCTGGTCAGGGTCATCTCCGGCTTCCAGCGTCCAAGTGTCTGGATGCTTTTGTAGACAAGACTCTATTTAATAAAGTGACTTCAATACCATCGCATTCCTGGAGAGAATATTTCGTTTTGATGCTCAGAGTGATAGGTGATGCTCAAAAATATGTTGCTCAGATGTTCATATTTTGGCAGAATTTTCTTTCCTTCTTCCTTTGTAAATTCTGAAATTAAACAGTTATCAAAGTCAGACAAGTTGACGCATCTTCACGCATATGGTCAGGCTAACGTGTATTTCACGCATACACACCAACAATGAGACATATGATGTTACCTGGGCACTTTTAATCATGAAGCTGCAAGATACAAGAAAACATTAACTTATATCCAAACTCAAAAATATCAATACTTGAACAATCTATTTAGTGCCTCTCTAGAATTTGCAGCTATGCAGGTTAGAGTTTTGAGTACACTGGGGAAAGTTATGCATCAATTTTTCTTTAAAGAAGATGCAATTGAAACTGTACTGCAGAACAATCTAGGCAGTAGTCCAAAAGTGAGGAGTGACTCAAACAGATGAGTGTGGCAGACACAATAATTAGACCTTCTGAAACAATTCAATCTAATGTGCTTAATCGCCAAAACAGTGAATTAGAACTGTGGCTCCCAATTAATTTCACATTTAGGACATTGATTTTAGTGTTGGCAATGCTATAAACAATTATTTGGAATGTGTCTCTTTTATGTAATGAAGATACTGTGATTTTGGACAAACTGTGGGCCCCTTATTCCTGTTCATTCTCGTTTACAGTGATCTGATCTTGGGGGAAGACGTAGATCCTTCCCTGATCTTTAACTTTCTGTTTTGTTTTGTTTTTTTTTACTACTCTCTCCCCTGCTTCTCTCCCCCCTCCCTCCCCCCCCCCCCCCCCCCCCGCAACCCATTATTACTTGCTTGGTGTTGATTCTTCCTTTACTCTGTAAGTACTCACAGAATAGGGCTAATCTTTATAGCTTTCTGTTTCGCAAGTACCTTGCTTCATATCATTTATTACGGACCTCAAGAAATGTTTGTTGACTACTCTGATAACTAAATGAATAAATGCTGGTTCATTAGTTGGAGCTGAGTTGTTTACTTTGCATTTGCTTCTGGCTGTACTGGGTTTTGAATTCAGGGCCTTGCACTTATTTGGCAGACTTTCTACATTTGAGACAGCCTTAATTTAGTTTTAACTGAGACACAACCTAAAAATGTTCTCATGTATGGCATGTTGGAATTAAAATGTGTCTACAACAGAAAAAGGTAATTTATTAAGTTTAGATTTTTAGGATTAGCATATATCACTTGTTTTAATCTTTCAAGGATTAGACACACTACAATTTGGACATTACCAAGAAAACATAATAATATTCCCCTCTTTCCATGCTAGCTCAGTGATGAAATCATCCAGTGATATGCCTATCAGAATGTACCTCAGAGTGGATCCCCAAATCAATTCAGTTCCGTTAACTCAAGCCAAACAGGCTTCTCTGTACTAGGGATTTTCCTGGCCATGAGTGCATTGCTGTGTGAGGAGGGACCACAATGGTGTGACTCAAGCTTTACCCAATCATGGAACGTTTCTGTAGCAGAGCTGTGCACGGGATTGGTGGGAAATGCTACCTCATCCCCATCGTTCTTTTACTTGTTTGAAAGAGTATTTGCATGAAGAGAGAGAGAGAGAGAGAGGGAGGGAGGGAGAGAGAGAGAGTGTATGCATTTAAGGAAATTGGTAACGTTGAAAGCTGGGACACATACCTAACTTCAATTATAAAATATTTGAGGGAGCCAGGCAGGCTCCTGCCTGTTTGCTTGGCACACCAGTTTGAAGCAGCAACATCAACTAGCTTAAGTCAGGCAGCTTAAGAAGATGATCTTAAGAACCAAATTTCCTCTGGGTCAAGTTTCATAGACCAGCCAGGACCTGCATTCTTCCTACCTCCACCCCTACCTGCAACTCCAGTGGAGAACAAAGGATGTGGAAGCCAGAGCTAAAGGTAAATTCCTTCCAGTCGAGGTGGAGCACTAACTCTACGGGGTTGATGAACACATTTAGTTTGTACCATGAGAATTCCCCAAGTCCTTGGTAAGTTACAGGAACACAGAGATGAAGCCTTGGCTCATTTCAAAGGCAGCAGAAATAGTTAAACATGTGCATTTCTGTGTAGTTGGCATAGGTATGAATAATTAACTCAGAAGCTCCTAAAAACCACACCTGGGCAATACTTTCCATTTAGTCTTCCAAACAATGTTTGCTTATGCTATGTTTTTGAGATAAAGAAGACTTCTCCTAGACTCTCATTTCTACTTAGAATAACAACAAAAATCAAGCTAGAATTCAGATGGTTCAACTCTAAGTACAAACTTGCTATGCAAAGAAATATTATCTCATAGATGAATTAAAAACTATTTGTATATATATATAATAACACAATATTATGGAAGATACTATGGACAATCAAGCTAATTAGCCTATGTATTACCTTGTCTGACTTTTGTGGTGGGAACAGGCAAAAACTCTACTCTCAGTGGTTTTCAAGAATTAAATACCTTGTTCCTAACTGTGGTCGCTAAGGTTACACAATAGATCTCTTGAATTCGTTCCTCCTCGGAGATTTTGTATCTCTGCCCTGACATCCCCCAATTCTCCTCCCTGGCCTTCTACTCCTACTGTTCTCTCTGCTTCTGAGTTGTTTTTTTTTTTTTAATTCCTTCTACATATAAATCTTTAAAATGAACTTGCTTTTAAGAGCAGGAGTAACAATCGTACATAATGGTACATGCCTGTAACCCCAGAATTCTGGAGGCTGAGGCAGGAAGATGGTGAGCTCAAGGCCAACGTGAGCTACATAATAAGACTGTAAAAAAATAAAAGCAGGGCTTTTTCACTCATGCCTGGAGCTCTACTACTTGAGCCATGCCTCCAGGTCCAAAGGCTATTTTAGGTTTTAGGGGGGGCTGTTTAATTGGAGATAAAAGAGTCTCTCAGATTTGTCTGCTGAGGCTGCGGTCAAATGCAATTCTCAGATCTTAGCCTCCTGAGGAGCTAGGATTATAGGCATAGGCCACTATCACATGATTAGGTGGGCTTTCTGATGGCCAAAGCACCTGTAAATTAAGATGCTCTGGAGGAAAGGGAAGCGGGTGGGCATCACACATGAACGCCGCTGTCAAACCTCTCCTGTACCCACTCTTCTTCCTAGCTTGGTCTCCGTTCATTTCCTAACATTACAAAGCCAGTTCTCCAAAGCTCCACCTCCTTGGGCTGTCCCAAGGAAGAAGAGGCAGGCAGCTGTGGGAATGAGAATGAGAGCAGGCTTAGGTGGAGTTAGGTTAGGGTGAGGCTGCTAAAAGAGATGAGCAATGATGACAGGCAAGCATGGGAAAGACCAAATTTTAACACGTTACCAAGGCTGCAATATGCCTAATTAGAGGCCTAATTAAATGCTAGGTCTACTAGACTGCAAGTTCCTGAGAAGGCTTATGCTTAGGCTGGACTTTCCAATACAGGAGTCATCTATCTGGACCTAACTGGCTCAGGTGACTAAGAAAGTTATTTAAAATTTTTATTCCTCAATAATTTAAATTCAATTTAAAACTGACCTTCAACTCAGTTACTGGAAACCTTTCAAATACGATATTACCAACCTGAGGATACAAATCTACTTTTCCAATGGTAAACTGTGAAACTGAAAGATGAAGTATTTCCAATGAAAATTTAGCATCCAAGCTGAGATTGGCCTTACATCTAAAATACAGACTGAAATGGAAGACTTAAACTGAAAGAAGTGATAGTATTTTATTAAAATTGTTACACATTTACCGTATAGGAAACTATTTATATTTTACTTTGTTGGGTTAAGTATTAAATTTAATCTTATCTGCTTCCTTTTATCACTGCTAGAAAATTCAGAATTATGTATATAGCTTATAGCAACAGCCTTAAAGTCTTTCTGAATTTCTTTGATTAGCCAGTATAGAATTTTTTAGAACCCTGTCCAAATGACTACCTTTCGGACCTCATTTTTATCTAGGTTCCTTGTCAGTTATTCGTGGTAAAGCAACTTCTCTGAGCTCTCCCTTTATTGCCAGTAAAATGTTGACTGCAGTTTGGATTTACAGGCAAAAAACCAAAGTATTAGTAAACAGTAAGGTCTCTCTCATGCAAGATGGCAAAAATAGTGACTGTGTCACTATTTTGTGCTTAAGTCTATATTCAGATGCCCTCCTCTCCTGCAGGATGCCCAATATGGCACCTAGGGGCAGGTATCCTGCCATGGATTCTGGGAGCACGATTGTGCCATGAGCATCAAAGACTTCACCTCGTAGGACACAGGCCCCTTGTCTGCAGCAGCTCCCAAGCACTTACTCTGAAACCCAAGGGCATTGGAGAGTTTCTGCTCCAGACACTGTTAGGGCACTGGGAGTAGAGCACCATCAGGGCCGCCAGCAGTCTCCCACAGTGGGAATTATTCCCCACCCCCGCCCCCAACCCTCTGGCAACATTGATTGGAGGCTGCTTCCTTTGAGGACAACAGTATCCATTCTAGCTGGCTGGATGAATGGGAAAGGAGGTGGCGTTTCAAACTCATCTGCCCAGAGGGACCCCTGTATCTCTCTGCAAGGCACTATTTCCCTTTTTCAGAAGTTCCTGAGCTATCCTGGGAAGTAGGAGCTCTGCTCCTATTGTTTCTAGCACTTAGTTTTACTTTTAACATGTTTACTGGGTAAGCTGAGGTTTCCGACATGATGCTATGCTATACACATGAATGTGGGGCCCATCATTACCTCTTCTGTGACATGTGCACAGACGTAATTACAGGAGTGCTGGCAGGGAGAGGGGAATCATCCCAAGAGGCTGTGTGATTCATCAATAAAAGCAAAACAAGACCAGGTCCAGTGGCTCATCTCTATAATCCCAAATACTCAGAAGGTACTAGGTAAGAAGCTTGGCATCCAAGGCCAGCCTTCGCAAAAACTCAATATACTGTCTGAAAAACAATGCAAAGAAAAAAGGAGAGATGGTGGAGGTTCAAGTGCTAGATTGCCTCCCTAATAAGCTTGAGGCCCTGAATTCAAATCCCAGGACCACCAAATGGATATATATATATATACTCATCCATATCTATATATGCATGCATGCATACATACAGAGCAAAACTGGACTAACAGAATCACCCTAGA